GAGTCCCACCTACCCAGCCTGTTCCCTCATGGCATGGAGGCTGATGGCGGTGCCTCAATGAGGGTTTGAAGTCGGAGTTTTCCTTTCCTAAGCACAAGCCGCTGACAAAGTGCTGGATGAAGTTGCCTTTCATCTTCCATTTCTGATGATGGTGTCATGCTTCCAATTTCATATCATCTTCAAAGTCATTGTAACTTGTGGTCAATGGTGATCCTTCCCTGCTGCCTATTTCAGTCCCCAAATTGTTAGAATACTTCACCTGATGTTTTGTTGGAGGAAAGCTCTTCTGCTTTTTGCACTTTTTGGTTTTCAGAAGTTACCACTTCATTGCAGAAGTTTTTGGTACTTCTGCAATGAAATCAGGCTGTTAAAGCAGCCCTTTAGGATCCAAACAACAAAGGTATATTTTAGGATGCCCAATAGGATGTTTCGGGAAACCTACAAGCAGATTTTTAAAAGGAGTACCTGGAAGAAAACATTCCTCACCCACCTCTATGGCGGAAACATCCCGCTCAGCCCAGTGAAATAGATTTAACTTCCTCACCCCAGTGGTTTTGTTGGAGGAAAGGTCTTCTGTCTTTTCCACTTTTTGGTTTTCAGGCATTGTTGCCAAGCTGCTTTCCTCTGTTGAGGACATGATGACTCTACCTAAAGTCTCTGCTGGAGTCTTTATAAAGTTGATGAAAAGTAACATCACAAAGTGTGGTCAATAGGGCTGCAGCTTTAATGAGAAACTGGGGAACATAGGTAGTTTTAAAATGAAATGCTAAAAACATGGGTAGTTTTAAAATGATAATTGTGTGTTTTATATACCATCAAGTTAGTATCTTCTTGGCAAATATTGTGCAGTACTGTACTTAGAGATGCCATGGATTGAACCTGGAACTTCCACATTTAAGGCATAGGTATTACCTCGGAACTGTGGTTCCTTCTTGTCTACCACTATGTTTTCTCCTATGCGTATATTGTAAATGAATAGTGACTTGTCTTTGGGCAGTCTCTTGAGATTGAAAGTATGAAATATTAGATGCCCTCATCTATCAATCAATCAGTCAATAAGCATATAAACTGTCAGTGTAGCATATAAACTGATTAGTGTAGCAGTCTCATTAAAGAATGAAGGCTATATAAAGTAAAACAAAGTCTCTGTTGCCTGTTATTTTTATTAGAATGTATGTGTTCATATCTGTATGAATTGATTTATAACCAGCCCAAGGCCTGTCTTTAATCCCTTGTTTAAAGTCACAGAAATTTTCTTGATGAACTCATCCTCGGTTTTAGATAATCAGCTGTGTTATTTACTGGACTGCTGATTAACCTCTTGCCACCAGGAATCAAATTTGTATCTGCTCTAAATTCATAATCAACAAATTTTAATTTTTGTGCACTTTTTTAGGTAGAAACTGTTTTTCCCAGATAATTTCGGATATATACTGACAGAACAATCTGCTGGCACTGCTGCCAGTAATCTGCTAGTGGAAGAGCCAGAGAGGGTATGGATGAGGAAAATGGTGGAGGAAGAGCTGAGCAGCATCTCCAGCCCAGAGATGAAACCAGAATGCTGGCACAAATTTAGGCAAAGATAAGAACATCAGTGCAAATCTACAGTATCTCTAGGCTGGGAGATGTTTGGCTTCACCTTTAGCTGGCTTAACATCAGTTCATCAGTCCCTTAGCTGTTTTAGTCAGTTACAATTGCACTGTTATATGCAGATAAGTCCCACTGAACTCACTGGGCCTTCTGAACAGGCATATGTGGGATTTCACAGAAAGTCTTGTACAATGTAAATAGAAGAAAGAAAAAGATGGATTGAAGAAATAATGCGTGAATGGATGTGGCAAAGCTTATTAAATGTGTCTTGTCTGCTTCTCTTGCTGTTAGTACGAGGAAGAAGTGGATGCTTCATTTCCAGTGTTTTCCTCCAATTAGAGATGAATGGGAGAGACAAGTGGGGATGCATTTAAGTTGCTAGAAGTTCCTTATTTATTTATTTATTTATTTATTTATTTATTTATTTATTAGTCAGTCAGTCAGTCAGTCAGTCAGTCAGTCAGTCAGTCAGTCAGTCAGTCAGTCAGTTATACCCCACCTTTCTCCTTCTAAGGACCCGAGGGGGGTGTACATCATTAAAAGGACAATATTTAAAAGCTAAAAACAATAAGTATACAAATATTTACAAAGAATCAAGGTCTCCTTGGCACATTTGCTTATAAGCATACCATCCCTCAAGTCCACTGCTGCCTATCCATCATTTTTCTTTTTTTTAAAAAAGGGAGGGGGAAGCGCCTTAAAAGCTAACAAGTTTTACTCAGCCATATAGGTTTGTGGAGAAGCAATCAGAGCATCTATTAAATTGAACATGCTTGCCTTTTACGGTTCCACAGGACTTTTCATGGTCTTTGCTGCCATAAGCTAAGGTGGCTACCCCTCCTGGGAAATTCTTGCATGTCAGACTGCACAGCATCATCTAGGCTTAAGATGCTCCACACATATCTAGCCCAAATGAAATTATTCTTTAATCTGGGCCAGCTGCCAGAGTCTCCCAAACTAGGTGTCTCCTCCCCAACAGTTAGAATGTCTGTGGCCAATATGTGACGTGCCAGCAAATTCAGCCAATGGAGTAATGGCAAAATGATGCTAGAAACTGGTTTCTTTTACAGTAACTGGTTTCTTTAAACAAGGATTGAAGTTATATGTTGTAGTTGTTTAGTCGTTAAGTCGTGTCCGATTCTTTGTGACCCCATGGACCAGAGCAGGCCAGGCCCTCCTATCTTCCACTGCCTCCTGGAGTTGTGTCAAATTCATATTGGTTGCTTCGATGACACTGTCCAACCATCTCATCCTCTGTCGTCCCCTTCTCCTCTTGCCTTCACACTTTCCTAACATCCAGGTCTTTTCCAAGGATTCTTCTCTTCTCATGAGATGGCCAAAGTATTGGAGCCTCAGCTTCAGAATCTGTCCTTCCAGTGAGCACTCAGGGTTGATTTCCTTTAGAATTGATAGGTTTGTTCTCCTTGCAGTCCAGGGGACTCTCAAGATACTCCTCCAGCACCACAGTTCAAAAGCATCAATTCTTCAGTGGTCAGCTTTCTTTATGGTCCAGCTCTCACTTCCATACGTCACTACAGGAAAAACCATAGCTCTGAGTATGTGGACTTTTGTTGGCAGGGTGATGTCTCTGCTTTTTAAGATGCTGTCAAGGTTAGTCATCACTTTCCTCCCAAGAAGCAGGCGCCTTTTAATTTCGGGGCTGCTGCCTCCATCTGCAGTGATCATGGAGCCCAAGAAAGTAAAATCTGTCACTGCCTCCATGTCTTCCCCTTCTATTTGACAAGAGGTGATGGGACCAGTGGCCATGATCTTAGTTTTTTTGATGTTGAGCTT